ACATAAATGGGAGGGAACACTATTCACAAAAAAAACTGCTCCTTTAGATATTAATAGATGACTATTTTCATTTCGTCCATCTCTCCATTTGGATCCTCTTATCCTTTGTTTGGCTCATCCTCAACTTCTCTTGTTAAAAATGTTTAATCCCTGTTTTGTGAAATGTGACTCTTCCATTTATATAAGCTTATACGATAGAATTATAGCCTTTTGGTAATGTTAAAATCCACTTTGGTAGTTTAATTTAAGTTTTGTTTTTTATTCATCTGATTGATTTTTATTAGGTTTCTAACTTTTATATATAGTTACCTTATGCATGATATAAAATATACATATTCCTCATATCACTTTTTAAGGAATTCTAGTTCTAATCATAAAAAATAGCATCAGGTTACCACTCGAAACACTAAAAAATTAAAAATAAAGCCCAAAGTCAAAACCAAAATATACAAAAAATAAAGCCCAAATAAAATTATACCAAAAACACATAACTGTCAATTTTGCAGAACAAATAATTACAAAATCTTTGCAATTTATGGTGAAACTTAAAAATATTTAAACCTAAGACTGTTATCGTAATATAATTTTAGTTTTACTTTATCTGGATTTCATGAAATTGAAGGGTCCCTTTTTCAGTTCTTGGAAGCCCTCGGGGATGGGTGTCATCTTTTTTTATTTTATTGTAGGATCCTTTTTAGTTCGTTTCAATTAGCAACTTTATTAGTTTCTTTATAATAAGATTCAATTCCCCCCCCCCCTGTAATTAGCAATTGTAGCTGCTAAAGTGTCGACCTGCCCTATTTGATATAGATAACATATCCTATAACGAAACTTATTAAACTAAGAACCCTTTTGGTAGCAATTTGTAAAAAATGGAGCGCGGCTTCAAAATGTTCATCATTCAGCGTATCATGCTATGAATCAAAAGGTGACTCGTGCTTACCGAAATACTGAAGTCTTATGGAATATAGTAGCATCTATTGCGTTCCTCATATCCTCATCACCATAGTCATCAGAATTCTCCAAAAAAAATAGATTAAAAATCATTCAATTCCATATATACCTTTTGTTTATTAACAAACTAAAGAAGTGTTTGGATGTCAGATCGTGGAAAATGGGCTAGAAAATGGAGAAAATGCTAAAGAAAGTTAATTACTTACGTGTGATTTTATTTTCAATGGTTCAAAGGAAAGTGAAAATGATTACTTTAAATGTTTTTAATAATATATTTAAATATATTGATTGTTTTAAAGTTTAAATTTTTTAATCTTTGGTCTTTACAAAATAGGAAGAAAGAAGGAAAATGAGTTTGGTCCAGTCTTCTATTATTCTCCTAATTCTCTTTTATAAGCAGTTCCACATTGACACCAAACTCACAGAGAAACCCCTCAATAACAATTAATTGAAAAAAAAGTGACAGTACTCATTGGTTAAATGACCAACTCGTGGAGCATCTGAATCTATGGGCTTGCCTTCTGCACATGTCTCTACATTAGGAGCAGGTGACAAATCCCCAGAAATGGTAGCACCAATTGCATATGTAAATCTGCCAAACTTAACGGGCAAGAAGGTGCAATAGGGGACCACTGACACCACCCTCTTCGTCAAGCGACATAAGAGTGATATCATAATGATTCAGATCTATATGTCGATGGAAAATTATTGCCTCCGCCAATCCATGTTTTTGCAAAAAAGTTCGGTAACCTAATGTGCACCAAGTATAAGATGAATATGATGGGTGAGTTAAACTTCTTTCTTCGTTTGCACATGAAACAGTTCTAGACAAAATCTTCATAAATCAATCCAAATATATTCTATGATATTTGGAAGAGGTTTAAGGTTTAGAACAAGATTCAATGAGAACCCTCATGTCCCCCTCTAGCAAGCTCGACTCATGCTCCTCTAGAAAATCATTCGATGTTATAATGATAGGGCGATCATTTGATCTTTGTTGAACCTAGGCCAATCCAAAAGAATCTCATTTAACTGCAGTAAAACGGATCTTGAGATATCTTAGAGGCACAGTCAATTTGTTTGTTAGTCCTCCAAGAAGCAAAACTGTGAGTGACATTTGCAGGTGAGGCAGGATATGTCGCGGTGACTAGTTGTTGTTCACAAACTCTATGGATAAGGACGCAACTAAGAGACTGTGGTTTCACGTTTTCACACATTCCCATTTACAGCGATTCCAAAAGTGCATTAACGGTGACATGGAATTTAGCCACCATTCTCGGACAAAGCACATCGACCTTCGCTACCACTTTTATCAAGGACCATGTTGAAAAAAGAACATTGGACATGTACTTCGTGAGCTCTGAGCTTCAACCGACTGACTTATTTTCCAAAGCATTGAATGAAAAACGCTTCCAATTCCTAGTCTCTAAGTTGGACATGTTGAATCTTGAGCCCAGTTAATTCTGATTCCCTGAATCCTTTCATAACATGCTTTATACTTAGTGAATACTTTTATCGTGTATGTCTATATGTGCATGTGTTTATGGGGAGTTTGAATTTTTCTCCCCACCTTGTGTAGTCGTTTTGATATTTTTGTGTGTGCTAAGTAAGTTTGTGCATCCGTTAGGGGGGCGGGGGGTTAATTTTTATTATTTTTTGTAGTTTATTTTTTGTATGTGTCTATTCAAATGTTTTAAGATGTATTTTCTTTCTTTATTTTCTTTTATGCTTTCCTCTACCACGAACATTTTCCCACATTCACTTAAATATCCCCTAGATGTTTGTTGCCCCTCATTTGCCCTTTCACACACACTCAAAACTATCGCCAACTTTCTTGATAAGCAAACTCTCTCAACCCAAGTTCCAAATCCTTTCTTCTTTTTCGATCCATCCCAGGTATGCAAATGACCACTAATGTCATCAGTTTTGCATATTACTTCTCCCATTTCATTTCCATTATCCTTATCATGAAGTTACAGTTACCGTTCTTTATCATTTTTTTTACTCCAGGGGGGTCTGGGGGGAGACTGGAGTAATCAGGGCTGAAACTCACTCCATTGAGTTTCCAACCCTTGTGTGCCTAGCGGGATTCGAACTCGAGACCTCCCACTAGGTACGATAACCTCACAAGTCACAACCAGCTGGGCTGGAATGCTTGGTTACCGTTCTTTATCATAAACTACCTTACTTTGATGTGGCGAAATGGAATAAGTGACGTGGCGAAATGGAATGATGTGGCAAAAACTACCTTACTTTGAAAAATAAGTTTAAAATTACCTTTATTTGGTAAATAAGGTTAGAGACTACAGGAGTGTTTGGGTTTGCTTAAAAAAGGCACTTTTCAGCTTTTGGCTTAAAAAAAGTTGAAAATAGTGTTTTCAAATGACAACTTCTGCTTAAATTAATCACATAAAAGCTAAAAGCTGGAAGCAGGTAGAAAGGTGCTTTAAACTGCTTCTCACTTTTTCTATTACACAAAAAATACTTATTTTACCAAACACTACCAACTTTTACTTTTCTAGAATCACTTTTTTCTCAAACACTACCAACTTTTACTATTAATCACTTTTCCCAAAATCACTTAAAAAAATCACTTTTTTAAAGTTGAAGCAAATTGCAAACACTCCCTACATCCGTTTGAGAAAAAACTCAGGGCCTGTTTACTAACAGAGATATTTTCCTGTTTTCTACTTCTGTTTTTCGTTCTCCAATTTTCTGTTTTTATTTTTCAGTTTTTCTATCTCCAATTTTCTGTTTCTATTTTTTAGTTTTTCATTTTCAAATGTGGGTGTAAGGTAGGGGTAGGGTAGGGAGTTGGGATAGGATGGCGGTAGGGTGGGCCTGGGATCAGGGTGGGGCTGGGGTAGGGAAGGGGTAGGATGCGGTGGGGGTAAGATGGCAGTAAGGGTGGGGGTAGTGGGTAGGGTTTGGGGTTGGGGTAAGGTAGGGGTAGGGTAGGGAGTTGGGATAGGATGGCGGTAGGGTGGGCCCGGGATCCGGGTGGGGCCGGGGTAGGGTAGGGTGGGGGTAGGATGGCGGTACGAGGGTGGGGGTAGGATGGCGGTGGGGTGGGGCCGAGGTAGGAGGCATGTGGTAAGGGGTAAGGTAGGGGGTAAGTGGTAATATACAAGGGGTAGGGTCGAGGTGGTAGGGGGGTGGCGGTAGGGTAGGGTGGATCGAGGTGGGGTCGAGGTGGTAAGGTAGGGTGGATTGGGGTGGGGCCGAGGTCAGGGCATGTGGTGGGGGCTGGGGTAAGGTCATTATAGGGAAAAATGGGTACGCGGGGTGGGGGTTGGGTGGGTAGGGTAGGGTAGGGTAGGGTAGGGGTAAGGGGTAAGGTACGAGGATGGAGGTACCGGAATGGAATCGACATCGGAGCGGGACCGGATCCACCACTAGGTGTAAGTATGCAAATTCATTGCAAATGCACTGTAGCATCTGCGTTTTCCAAATTTGGAAAACTAGTAAAAGTCACTTCTCCAAATCATTAAGGAAAAGAGAGACATGTTTCATTTTTTCCGTTTTGGAAAACGATTTGGTAAACACGTTTTTCTTTTTTCCTTTCTCCAGTTTTCCAGGAATTTCTTTGGTAAACACGTTTCCTGTTTTCTGTTTTCCAGATTTCCAGTTTTCTGGAAAACTGAAAAATATTTCTGTTAGTAAACAGACCCTCATATTTCGTGTATTATTCTCTCAAAAATTAATTAATACGGAGTATAGTAATTTGGGGAGACGTACGGAGTTACAATTAACCAATCTTCCTGATGTGGTCTGTATATAATTCTGGGCCACTTAGGGGGTGTTTGGAACTGATTCTGCTTCTGCTTCTTTTTTAAAGCAGAAGCAGAATCAGAATCAGTTTTCAGAAGCTGGTCACCCCCAGCTTCTAAAAAAACTGATTCTACAAGTAAAAAAGAACACTAAAATCGCTTCTGCACTTTCTCCCAAACACTCCAGCTTCTTCTTCTACTCCCTGAGGGAGCAGAAGCAGTTTTAAGAATCACATCCAAACACCCCTTAATTTATCTTCAAAATCTGGACCTCTTTGTAGTTACGACAAAGTAGACGGTGCGTGCTGCAATTTCTTTATATCCTGCCACGGCCTGTGTATACAGCTTAAAAACCCTAGATTCGACCAAAATAATTTAGCACAAGAGAAGTTCTTTCAAATCCGATTCCCCTCTGAAAGCAACGGAATCTCAGGTAATATATTCAGATCTTCTCCAATTTACGGAGTTTTTGAATTCCGAAATAGGTGAAGGCGCGAATCTGCGTATAGGGTTTGTGGAAATTGAACCCTAGCTGTTCTGAGAGAAGTTACAGTTGACCCATTAATGTGCGTGTGAATTTTTTCTTAGTTAATTGGATACGCTTTTGCATTTGCGGGATCAAGTTAGTTTCTACTAAAATATTTAGCAACCAAAGCTCAAATAATTTTAAAGGGTTGTGATTTTATACAAGTGTTATGAAGTGCCTTTCTTTTAAACTCCGAGTATACAAGTGACATGTAAAATCTTAACTTGAGCGTTACTTTGATGTGAACTGCTCATGCAGTCTTTGAGAAAGTGTCTTTTGAGCTTGCAACACAAAGGCTGCTACTTTTAGATGATTTTGTACCAATTCAGCGCACTATAAGCATCTTTCTCTTAGTATCTACACTTCGAACTGCCTTTTTTGGGTGTGTGGATGATTGTGTGTGTTTTCCAGACACTCTTCTCTTTCTGGTGTTCTGTTACACGTTATTCACTGCTATTTTTAAAGTTTTAACCTATATAACATTGAAGATAATCCAGGGGGCTCTTCAATACTTTGGTAGCTTTCCAGCATTGGGTTTCATATGTTTTATGACAACACGTTCTAATCATTTTTGAATTTAGAGGTGAATATGAGTTCTCTAATACATGTGTCTGAATATTGGTGATGAAAAAGCTATGACAACATTGTACATACTCATTAAATTTCGTAGGCAATTTTATTTTATTTTTTACTATATAATATCTCTAACTTACTTTACACTACTATGCAAAAGGAAAATGCACTTTCATTCATGGAGATGTTACTTGAAATCATGACACAGATGCTTTGTTTATGATAGATTTCAAGCGCTTGGACTCAATTGAGCTTTGGAATCATACATTTTGATTTGTATGCGGGGAGTGGGAGATTCCAGGGTGGAATTGTGGTTTATTTGTAAATACTGAGAGGTTGTTGCACATGCTTAGAAGAGCTTTCATCTGCAAAATAATTAGGCATCACGAAGAAACCACTTTATTTAAAATATATATTTTTTGCTTTAGAGCTCATGAGCTTGGAGCTTGTGGAGCGCTGCTCAACTCAAGGATTGCTCTTTCGGTTTGCTATGGAGTCATACATAGGGATATGTTTTTGAAAGAGAGGGAATTCAGGGTGGCATTTTGGTTGTTTATATGTACTGGCATGTTACAAACTCGGAAGAGCCTTTGGTCTCTAAAACTTTTAGGCAGGATGAGGAAACATACTTTTAGATCTAATGTTTTATAGCTTTGGAGCATATGAGCTTGGAGCATGTGGAGCTCAATTGGAGGGTTGCTCTTTCGGTTTGCTTCAGAGTTTTATTTGCATTTAACTTATACTGTCATGTCAAATACAACATAATAAAAATTATTAAGCCAATGTATTAGCCTTTTGGATTAAGAGTTCACACTTTAAGATGATCATTTGTTTACTTTTGCAGTGATTTTCCCCATAGTTAACGATGAGTAGCCGTATTTCTCGTTCAATCTATGTGGGAAACCTTCCTGCAGATATCAAAGAACACGAAATTGAAGACTTGTTCCATAAGGTTTTATCCTGCTCTTTCCCTACGACAATATAATGATTTGTTACTATTGTAGCATGGTTAAGCAATTATTTCTCATTTTGAAGTGGAGAGTTGCATTTTCATACTGACTAATTACCTTGTATTAATTTTAGTATGGGCGTATTCTCGATGTTGAACTGAAGATTCCGCCTCGCCCGCCATGCTATTGTTTTGTTGAGGTGATATAAGTTTTCTCTGTTTGGCCTAATTATTTTTCTTGATTCAGATATTTTTTCTCCATTTTTTCTTGTAATTTACATCATTTTCTTCTTAGTTCCTCTTTCATCAATTATTGAAGCGGTTGTTAGAGTTAGGGCTAAGTGAAAGTCACAAATTCCACCCTCAATTCACACCTTTCTAGCCCTCATTAAGTAAGTTAATAATTAATAATTTGCTTTGCTAAAAAACTAAGACAAGAAGTCAACTTGAGTTCGAGGCATGCAATTTTTTAACACGGTGATTGTTGAATAGGGATTAAAAAGAAAGTTAAAAAATATGAGTTACAAAATTATAGGTGTGAAGAGTAAAAATTATTAATTTGTCAAGGACCTAAATTAGAAAATACCATACTGAGAGCGATAAAAACATATGCCAGTCTCTCTTTTATGTTTACTATTAGCTCCACGTACTTTATAAGCAATACGTTTGTATTACATGTTTGGTTTACTTCTCTTCATTGCCTGCATTTTATTTGGCTATTTTCTGTTTGACCATTGGATTGAATAATTTGACCTTGAGTTTCAACTTGTTCAGTTTGAGAGTCCTCGACAAGCCGAAACAGCTATCAGAGGCCGAGATGGCTACAACTTTGATGGGTGTCGATTGAGGGTAAGAAAATGTCTGAAATGTATTGGTTATGTTTGCTGTTTTTTTCTTTAACTGTTTTTTATATATATTCAAATGACATAGGTTGAGCTTGCTCATGGTGGAAGAAGCCTCTCGTCTTCAAGTGATCGTCGTTATGGGTATAACGATCGGGGCAGTGGTGGTGGTGGTGGAGGAGGAGGAGGAGGGCGACATGGCACTTCTCGCCATTCTGAGTATCGGGGTACTACTATATGACTTGAACTAAGAAATATGAAGAATTGTTGAAATTTTCCTTTATGTGATGATCCACATTATAAATGCTTTGATAAATCATATTTGATTCAAGCAGTTATTGTCCGGAGTCTTCCAGATTCAGCTTCCTGGCAGGATTTGAAAGTAAGTAAGATGGTGTCTTAAAATTTTATTTTAATTTTCAAGGGTTACTTGATTGCATGTTGAAGTTGGCAGTAATGTGGGACATATTCTATAGGACCATATGCGAAAAGCAGGTGATGTGTGCTTTGCCGAGGTTTACAATGAGCGTGAAGGTATTATTTGAATATCATTGCACAGTGGATCTGTGTCACTGTATTTTAAATTTGATAAAACATGTTAAGCTTCCTTTTCGTTTTTATTCATCAATTCACTGACATCAAATTGTTTGATGTAAACACCAACCTTAATGGCTTAATCATGCTAGACTCCACCTGTTTATTACTGTATCTGAAGTTATACTACTCCAGAAAATTGTTTGGCTTTGTTTAGTAGCCTAGTGGCAGTGGTGAGAAAATATTACAACTTCCTAGTCAGAATTTCATTAAAACAGAATTACTTGGAAATTTGACTCTTTAAACTATTGTTTTCTATATTTGAATGTATCAGCAATTATTAAAATATTCTCTTTGTTTTATGCATGCATGCATTAGCTGATCTTTGAACATACTAATTTGGTTTTGTTACTAGGAACATACGGCCTGGTTGATTATACAAATTATGAGGATATGAAATATGCTGTAAGTTAAACACTCTCTTAAGTGTTTTTTCAGTTTTATGAGATGTAGGCTTTGAACCTCTAACTCTGGTTAATTTCTGTTTTCCAGATTCGGAAACTTGATGATACAGAGTTCAAAAATCCATGGGCCAGGACTTATATCCGGGTATTTATTAATTAATTGATTGATAAAACCAAAAATCTGTTGACATTAATGTTTTGTTAATTTCTTGACAGGTGAGAGAATACAAGCGACATTTGTCAAGAAGCTATAGCCGTAGCCGTAGCCGTAGCCGGAGTTTGAGCAGGAGTAGAAGCAGAAGCCCAAGGAGAAAGAGGAGCAGATCAGATGATAAATCAATTTCCAGATCGCCACCCCCACGCTCTACATCTGCATCGCCCGTCAAGCCATTGCGGTATGTGAGACATGGGTTTTTTTGTGGACATGTATTTTTTCATTGTGAAAGATCTGTTATTTTTTCTTACCACTTTGGTTTTTTTATCTTTGCATAAAACCAGTCCCATATCAAGGTCAAGGTCAAGGTCAAGATCAAGGTCAGGGTCTAGACCTAGATCATTGTCGGCTTCTCCACGTCAGGTAAGACTTTCAATTGTACAATTTGTTTCAAACTTTTATTTTTAAATTTAAGGAAAATTAGCCTTTGTATTACTTGTTTTATTTATGGGGATATGCACTCCGGTGCATCATGGTCTGCAAAGTCAAATAGTGAGGTAAATTTTCGTGCACGAAAATAGAAATCATCTACTTGGTGGTTCATCTTCCAAAGATGATATCACACAGGGTGCAAAGCCATATATTGAGGTGCTACATGCACTATGAAGACCACTTATCCCCAATGCCATCAACATCCCAAACAACTCACATTATTGATTAATAAGTACCACTATCCAATTTCACCGATTAAATGGCATTCTGGTGAAATTATTATTTTACCCCCACTATCGGGTGCAAATAATTATAGTATAGGGATAACATTATAATTTGGCCTCCTAACATCATCCAGTTGACACCCATGGTGCTTTGTTGACACCCATGGTGCTTTTAGGACTTGGAAAAATTAGTGGAAGGAGTGAAGGATAATCAGAAGGAAAATAGATGGGATCTGGGCTAGTTGGAAAATAGAAGAACTTTTTTTCAATCTCAGTAAATAAAAAAGATGTATGTTCGAACTCAACATAAATACATACATGCATATATACTATCTCCATCCCGAAAAGGTTGGCCAAATTTCCTTTTTTGGATGTCTCAAAAAGATTTGCCATTTCCATTTAAAGTAAGGAATACGCGGCTATAATTAATTCTCTCTCCTCTGCACAAATTTCAACCACACAGTTTATATTGTATTAATCCACTTGAAAGTCAACTTTGGCCAACCTTTTTGGGATGGAGTTAGTATGTAAAACCAAGTATTTATCTGAAATGTAATACTCCCTCCGTCCCTTAATGTTTGTCCTACTTTCCCGAAATGGATGTCCCAAAATGTTTGTCCTACTTTTTTATCTTCTTTATTTGGCTAACAAATCTTTATCAAACAGTGTCAAACAATGTCAAACAGTGTCGATACAGTGTCAAACAATGTCGCTACAGTGTCAAACAATGTTGCTACAGTGTTAAACAATGTCGTTACTGTGTAAAGTCAAATTTATTTCCTTAATATATGTGGAGTCAAACTAGGACAAACATTTAGGGACGGAGGGAGTATGTTCTAATCAAATTTGACCTTCATATTTCACAAGGTTAAACCAAATATAAAAACTACTTTCTTGAGCACATGTCTTCATATCTTCCTGTGTTATGAATGAATATACTAATGATTCACAACTCATTGTATTTTTCAGGCTAATGCAAACAGTGGGTGATTTGTGATGCACAAGGTTTAGCTCGAGTCAACTTCTTTGAGGGTAGGATTTGCAGGGCTTTTGCCCTTCATGATTGTCTTGTCTGGGGCTGAGTCATAAACTGAACCATTGTTTGAAATTTAAGCTACTGAAGTTGAGGTCATTTCTGTCAAACTCGTTAGTTGTGTTGACATTTTGTGTCTGATTTTGGAAGACTAGGAATGATGAACCAATTCTTACGCTTCTAGTTTCACTGGTTTGTAATGATTATGCCCTGGTGTGTCTGTTTGTTTTTTGTACTACTTAACCCCCCATTAATCTGCATTAGGAACTTATGAAACTATGGTCTTCAACTTTTATATGCAACGAGCTGCTTGTATGCTTAGGTCGACAATGCCAAATCTGCGTCATGTACAATCTCTGAGCGACTCATATTTATACTTCATTAGGGCACGTTAAGTTTTTCTATGCTCAATCTAGTTTGAGCTTTTGGTGTTCGTTAGATAGGGATGGACTCGGGCTGGGCGGCCCGGCCCGGAACCGGCCCGGCCCGGTTACTGTTTGAACTGGCCCGGCCCGGGAACCGGTCTGGGGGGCGGTTCGGGTCAGCCCGGCCCGGTTACTGTGCGGTTCGGGCCCGGGCCCTAGGATTGGTGAACCGGCCCGGCCGGTTTGGGCCCGGTTCGGGCCAAATTATTATTATTATTTTTTTTTTGAATTTTTTTTAAGTTTTTGGGTTGGGCTAGGTATTTTGGGCCATTTGAGGTGGTTTGGGGCCCTTGGGGGTGACCGGGTGAGGGGGGAGGGTTGGGACTTGGGAGTTAATTAGGAAAAGCCAAAAAAAAAAAAAATAGAATCGAGGCCCGGCCCGGCCCGGACCCGGGATTACCCGGGCCGGTTCCGGGCCTCCCATTCTTGAACCGAGGCCCGGCCGGGCCTGAACCGGAACCGGTCCACCCATATTGTTAGATCTTAAAGCATAATCGGGTGAGCTACTGAGCTCTAGGCCTTGAGCTGGACCTGCTAGTTTCGGGTGACATTAATGGTGGAACTGGACTCCAAGGTAGTCAAACTCAAGATCCTACCTAGGATCCTAAATCATAGGATCGTGAGTTCGTGACTCGAATCGTAAGATCTTACCATATATGTTACTATCTCCGTCCCAACTTACTTAGTCATCTTTGACTTTTTCAGTCAAAAATGGTAAACTTTGACCAAACTAATATATTTATGCAAAATTTAATAACTTTATACTTTTATGATAATATATTTTTAACAAGGAACATTTTCACACAACTTTCATATTATCAATATTTTTTTCTATATAACCATATAATCGGTCAAAGTTAGACGTCATTGATTTGAAAAATCAAGTTTGGCTATGTAAAATGGGAGCACGGAGAGAGTATATGTATATGTGTGTGTATATATATATGTCTATATATTAGTAATAATTAGACATGAAAATAATTCATACTACATATATAATAATATATGATATAGAATAACGTATTGAATACGGAGTATAATTCATCAATAATAATCACAATAAGATATTTAGAATATAATACCCCAGATATTATGCAAAATGGTTATAAAATAATAATAATAATAATAAATTATAGTAACAAGGCTAACAGCTGACAGTACATTAAAGTAGTATATTATTAAAAATATAGTACTGCGTAATAATTTAACATACCTATTGGTGTAAGAATACTATGCAAAACTTAATACGAAGTAGTAGTATAATAAAATAGAAATAATGAGTGCGTAAATGCGTAATACTATTGGCCTGGAGATCGATTCAAGATAACAAGGCGACTCAAAGAGATGCAGTCTTTTTTGCCGGCGATACCTAATCCTGAACCCTTTAGAATTCTGCGACAACTAGTCGCTATTGACTCGCGATTCACCTGCGATTCCACGAGTTTGCGGTTCTGAACGGCCAGAACGGGCGATCTCATTGATTCTAGTATTTTACGATCTTTATCAAAACCGCGATCCGGGGATCGTCATGAGTAGTAGAGATCGTATAATCGTACGATCCTACATGCAAGATCCGGGTATCCTTTGTAATGGTCTTGCTTCCAGCTCTTTAAACAAATCTGATCTGACATGCTTGAATTGGATTTGCTACTGCTGTTAACGAACCAAACTTTCTTCAAGTTACTCAAGTTCAATTTTGAACTTAATGAGCTTCCAATATTGAATGCTTATAAACTATGAGTCTATTGAACCCTTGTCAGTTATTGCCTATAGGGAACTCGTTGGAATTTGGAATACATCCCAAATGGCTAACAAATTGTGTAAGGTAAAATAGGAGTCCAATGCTATTTGGAAAGTAATCACTTGAATTTGGAAAAAGTTTTGGTTTTATGTAAATCAAAATATGTAAAAATTATTAGTTTTTTTTTTTGTATCGGCTCATTGAATTTCAGCACTATGTTCCTTTGTTTGTGGGTCCTCTCTCTTGGTGGCAATCTTAGTGAGGATTTTTGGAGACAAAATCCAAGTTAAATTATTGCACAATTTTTATCGTGCCATATAATATCTGCCAAAATCCATACCAAAATAGTGTGATACATAAACTTAGCAAAATTTCATCCCAAAGCCAAATCGTTTAGTCTATGAGTTCTAGTCTTCTAGAGATGGTTCTCATAGACATGGTTCTCAATCACGTTTGTTCTTGTTTTTATGTGTTGGGCACTTCATCTAAATACCTTTAATTTCAATGTGTTTAGTGATGTGATTCCCACTTATTTGGTATATACTTGCAATTCCCTCGGTAGCCGAGGGTTTGATTCTATTTTTTTGTACATAATTTTTGTTTAGTGATGTGATTCCCACTTATTTGGTATATACTTGCAATTCCCTCGATAGCCGAGGGTTTGATTCTATTTTTTTTGTACATAATTTTTATATTTTTGTACATAATTTTTTAATAAAAGCTCTTAATTTTTGCACCCGATTTTATTGTCAATAATTCAAAGTTCAAACCTGTTTAGTAGCTTGGTAAATTTAACTTTCACTATTCAACAAGAACCAAGTAAGAGATACTACGTAATTCCTAAAGTGGGAGTGAAACAATTTAAAAATACAAAAAAGGAATAGACATTTTTTTTATCTATATATATAGTGAACCGTACAAAAAACTTCTCGTTATTATCTTGCTAATTCTCTCTAGTTGAGAGCTTTTCTCTCTAGGCGGCCGTCTCCCCTAGGGTTTGAGGTTGTTTTCTCCGCTTTCGTCTTCGACGATGTGCGGCTTTTTTGTGCGGCTTTCGTCCGCTTTTTGTGACGCTTTCTTCTTTGCCAGACTGCAACGCCTATATGGCGGCCAAAGGTTGTGTACCCCTTGCAGAAGGTGGAGAGCTTCAAGGATGCGTTTATGGTTGAGAGCAGAAGGTCATAGACGAAGTGTGGGGCTAGTGGTTGAAACATATATGGACTGGAGGCAAGGAGCGGAAGATGCTACAATACTGTTGGAGCGTCCCCCTCCTGAACCGCCACCATGGAGTGCAGGAGAGTTTAGAGTTTGGAAGCAGTATTTTGATTTTACTGTTTGCTTGCTTTTTTATTTTTCATGATCAGACTGTTAATTTTTTTGTTGATTACTTTTAATACTACGTTCTATTTTGGCCATAAATATTGTGTCAAACTTATTCTAGCAAACAATAGAGTACCACACTACAAAAAAACACTGATTTTGTCAGGGATTTTAGTCAGGGATATTGTCCCTAACAGGCTTGCCAGGGATTTTGTTAGGGATTACAGAAAAATTCGGTCAAACAGTTTTGTCAGGGAAATATCCCCGACTAAATTTGTTTCGGATAATATCCGTAACAAAATCCCCGACTAAACCCTAAAATAGGTCATCGGCCAGAACTTTTTGGCCGGAATATTTGTCAGGGAAAAATTTCCCTAACAACAAAACGTTGGAAAAATAGCCGTTTGATTTTGTCAAGGACCGGATCCTTGACAACAATTAAAATTTATTATGTTAATGGATTTGTTCCCTGACTAAATAAAAAATACTTCGTATACATTTTACAATTTTGTCACGGATTTTGCTGTGACAAAAGTTAACGTTGGAAGCAAAATTCCGACCGTTACACATCCGTGACAAATGTTACCGTTTGATAAAATCCCTAACAAAATCCTTGATAAATTTTTCTATATATACTAGTCATTTTAGCTAGTTTCATACCATTCTTATGGTTTATAATTTTATAGAGAGTATTATAATGTGTTTGTGGAGTCATCAAAATGACGAAATTGGATGAATTTCTGGAGCCAAATGCGTGTTTCAAATAATAAGGTATGTAAATGTATTTCTTTGGATTTTTTTGTAATACATATTAAATTGAATAGAGTATTAGTTTATTTAAAGCATTACACTTGTTATAATAAATCATTTTAAGTATACAATAGATATTTATGTCCTTAACTAATTGTATCATTATATATAGTTGATTAGTCCATGTACTATTAATTGTTTGATTTCATTTATTAAATTAAGTTTTTGAATATTTATTAACTTTAAGTGATCAATGTTAGTGTAGGAATTGAATGTAGCTATTTCTTAATATATTATATCAAATATATGAAGATAAATTATAAATTGGATGTACAATGGACATGTCTAAATTATATATATTTATGTCCTTAATAATTGTTTCTCATTATATATAGTTAATTATTAGTCCATTTATTATTGTATAATTTCATGTATTTAATTATTTATTAATGTGTTAACTTTTAGTAATCAATGTTAGTGTAGGAATTGAATGAAACTATTTTATTATATCGGAAAAGATCATGTCCAGCCGGAGGGACAGGATCCTCCGTCCGGCCGCCGCCGTTTGGGGCGGTTTCCGGTGGAGTTTTTTGATGAAATTTTTATGGAATGTTCCTCATCAAGTCTAGTTTATCCACAAAAAATTTCAGATAACAATTCGATCGGGAAGGCAGTCAAATAATTTTTTGAAACATAACTGCGTTTTATATGTTTAATTTGGCGCAATTATCTTCAACAAATTATTTGACTGCCTTCCCGATCGAATTTTTAGCTGAAATGTTTTGTGGATAAACTAGACTTGATGAGGAACATTCCATAAACATTTCATCAAAAAACTCCACCGGGAACCGCCCCAAACGGCGGCGGCCGGACGGAGGATCCTGTCCCTCCGGCTGGACAGGATCATTCCTCTTTTAATATAATTCATCATACATATATGTGTGTGTGTGTCTCTCTCTCTCTCTCTCTATATATATATATATATATATATATATATATATATATATATATATAGAGAGAGAGAGAGAGAGAGAGAGAGAGAGAGAGAGAGAGAGAGAGAGAGAGAGAGAGAGAGAGAGAGAGAAATTATAATTTGGACGTAAATGAACATGTGTAAATAATATATATTTATGTCGTAAAATATTTGTACC